GAAAAAGAAAGGAAAAGACAAAAAGAAATGGAAAAAGAAAATAGAAAAAAGAGAAAAGAAAGGGATAAAGAAGGAGATGGAAGAGATAAAAAAAAGAAAATTAAATTTTCGCAAAATGAAGATCAATGATGGATGAAGAGAGTAATTATTCATACATTGGGGGTTCCATATATTCCATTAAATCGAGGTTCAGTATTTTCTTTATAATTGGTTGTTTTTTCAAATCTTTCATCATGCATTGTGGGTTTATTAAGTTATTCAAACGCTGTGGTTTTTAGTTCGTCAAACATTGTGGGTTTTTACTTCATCAAACATTGTGGGTTTTTTTAATTAATTAAACACTGTGGGTTTTCAAGTCATTCAAACATTGTGGGTTTTCAAGTCATTCATTAAACATTAGGGTTGTTTTTCAAATCGTTCATCATTCATTGGGTTTAGTTTATTCTTTTTAATTGGGTTTTTTACGTCATTTATCAAGCATTGGGTTTTTTCAAGTCACCCATTATTTATTGGGTTTACTTAATTCTTATTAATTGTGGTTTTCAGGTCATTCATCATTCATTGGGGTACTTGTACTTTAAAGGTATTTATAAAGTTAATATTTTTATAAATGTTATTATTATTTTTGAATATAAAAGAAACTAATATTTAATTTTAAAACTTAAAAAGATTTGAATACTTTCTATTTCAACACATAATAATATAAATATAAATAATAATATAACAAAAATGATAATAATGAAAATAAAAATGATAATAATATCAATAATAATCACTTTCAAATAACGATTATAAATAATAAAACAAAAAACAAAAATAATGGATAAGATTAAATTATAAATAATAATGCAAAATTCGATCCAGACAAGGAAAAAGATAATAGAGTAAATAATATTAATATGGAATAATAATCATCAAAACAATCATGTCATATAAAAATAAGAAAAGTAATGCATCCAACTCTATTCATTCATCAATTCTTTATGCCTTCCAAATCTAAATCCAAGTTAATCAATTTGAAAAAAATCGAAATTTCAATTCTAAAATCTATTTATCCAGAATTAATTGCATTCTTTCCTATAAAGTTTATTTTCAACAATGGGTTTATTCTATCATCATTTATCAATTAAATACCATCAACAAAAACAATTAACACTTTCATCCGTTTCATTAAGTACAAATTAATGTCATTTGGTCACAGATCCGGGTCAACCTTTATCATCAATTTTATCATTTATTATTATATAGAATTAAAAATTCTCCATCCCTAGTTAATTTTCTATTCATTATCAAAATAAAGATCTTTAGTTTAAAAGCTTATTTAAATTTTTTAATAAAATAAATTTATATTGTTTTTTATTATTTAAAAACCATATGGTAAATTTTTTCCATCTTGTTTGAAATCTTTTCTAAAAGTAATTATTATTATTATAAAAGTGGATGTATATAAAAAATAATGATATTTTAATAAAAAAAAAAAAATTCAAAATTAATTTTTTTATTTTTTTTTTATTTTTTTTATTTTCTAAAAATAACACAATTGTTTTATATAATGTTATACTAATTAAAAATAAAATACAATCACTAAACTACTACACATAGACGTATCACCATTAAATATAGCATACCAACAGTGAAGCAGTTTTAAAAGATAAAGAATGTCAAATATTTAGCTTTTCAATGTACATATATATATTCCCAAACATTAGCAAAGACACACCATCAAACCAATTGATTTATGAACAGTCTTCAAGAAAGATTAAATATTGTAAAGTATGCAATTACGATATCAAATATTTTAGTATTGAGGATTTTAAAACCCGATAAAAGAATGTTTGTGCAACTAAAAAACACTTTTAAGATCAGCAAATTCTAAAGTATCAAATATTTAGAATCGATTGGTGTCAAATTAAATATAATATATTATCATCAGAATCAAATCAAAACAACAAAAGTTCAATAAAAGTCAATTTCACACAAAATACAATCGCATGGAGTGGTAACATATATCCATATTATACCACAGAAAAAGAATGTTCATCTAAATACCATGAACATGGAATATGCGATAAAACAACAGGTACATGCAAATGTAATTCAGAATACACAGGTTTCGATTGTTCATCACCAATTAATAACAATAATAATAATAATCAAGCAGAAACAGAAACAGAAACCAATAACAATGGAACAGTTATAATTAAAAATCATTTTATAGGATATTCAATATCGATTCAATTATAGAATTAGACATTAACAATCAACAAATAGCAATATTCAATTTATCAAACAACTAGATATTTGCATATAAACAAGAACCAGTCACCACATTCAATCAAATAAGAATTAATGAAGACAATACCAATGCAATAATAAAATTAATAATAGAAAAAGTAAACGATAAAGATAAAGGTTTCACATTTGCAGGTAATCAATTCACAGTTACAAAAGGAGGATTCAAATTATCATTATCAATTTCGAACTCAAACTGGTTATTCAAAAGCAATATCAATACATTCCAAGTACAAATGACATCAGAGATACAGATTGACACATCAAACAACAACAATAAATGTAATAGAGATGATAATGAGGCAACTATCGAATCTTCATCAAATAATAACTATTTATTGAATAATATAAACTATTTAAAAGTTATTAAAAACAAAGAATACTTTATGCAGGATTCCAACAATATCGAGAAATCAATAATCCATCATCTTATAATATGGCAATCGAAATACTCAAATCAAATAATTTTAAAATTACACCCTTTTATAACCCATCTCAAAACCTCTAGTAATACTCAACAACAGCATAGTTCAGAGGAGAGAATTCAAAATAAAAAAAGATTTGATGTTTGGTCATTTATGTTCCTTAGCTCATTATTAAAGTTATTACCTCCACATTTAATTTTAAGTTCATTAGACTTATTCATTCAAAACAGTAGCAATCAACAACTAACTTTACAGATGATCGTAAGAGATTGGTAATTAATTTAGTTTCATTTAAAGGTGGAGCCAATGCATTATCAACAAAAGCCGGTGCCGATTGATTCCAAAAAGAAAAGAAATATTAAGAGGGCGGTTTGGACCTCGATGATATTGCCGAAAGAGAATTATTAGCTACTAAAACCATTGAAGATGTCTCCAATTCTTAATTGGCTGCAAAGTCAAAGAGATAAAGAAAGAAGATGCTCCTGATGTCACGGAAACTATTCTTGAAGCCGCTTTGGCAACTACTAGTGCTACATCAACTTTGGTTGGTGCTGCAACATTGTCTCAAAGAGAACGTGTCGAAAAAGGTAGAACTAGTGATGGTGGTCCAATGTATAATTAATTTCTACTGCTAAAGCTTTTGCTGCCGCAACCAAAGCATTGGTAGATAAAAAATAATATAAAGTAAATATGTAAAATCTGATTTAAAACATAAAAGTTTAACTCAATTTAATACAAAGTTATTTAAAATCATAAATAAAATTTTAGACCTTATTTTTAAATAAAGTATTTCTTTTTTTTAATCTAAAATTATTAATTTGCTTAAAAACAAATAAAATTTTTTATTTCTTTAATTTTATTTATTTATTTCCACCTTTTTTTTTAAATTTTAATATCTTTTGTGGAACTGATGCCTATTGATATAGCACGAATTTGACTATTCCATTCAACGAGAAGAGGACATGAATCAATAGTATAAATCTTGATTTGAATTATCTTTCCAAAATCTGAGATTTTCACCTTTCTTAAGATTTCGAAATAATTTAATATGACGCTATAGTTTTCTTGATCTGCTTTCTTTATTTTCCAAAGGGGTAATGGTGGAATCTGGGCATGGGTTGATACCTAATAAACTTGCTCTTTCTGAATACAAAATTGAAAATTCTGTCATAATAATAATATTTTGGTTTCTCTTCTAGTGGTGCCATATCATTAACAAAAAAGAGTCTTCCCATCCTAGTCATTAACACTTATATTTGTTTCTCCATTTTGAAAAAAAAATATTTTATTATTCCTATTATTATTACTATTATTGTATGTTGTTATTTATATTATAGCACATTCAATAAATGATAAATTTAATAATAAAAAAAAATAGGGTATGCGATTTAGTTTATTTTTTGAAAAAAAGGGGTTTCTAAGTTCGGGGTCAATTAGTTCCATTTTTAAAGTCAATTTCTAAGTTTTAGTTTTTTTTTTTATTTTTCTAAGTTTTAAAAACAAAAAAAAAAGTTTTTAATTTAAAAGGTGTTTAAAAATCAATAAAAAAACAGTTAAATCATAATCAATTAATATATATAGTAATGTGTGGTTGTTTCCCCCTTTTTTTTTTTTTTTTAAATTTTTTTTTAAATTTTTTTTTAAATTTTTTTTTTTTTTTATTAATATACATAAATATGTTAAGAGGATTTTTAAATATATTTTATTACAATAAAGCAGTTATATAATTAAGCGCAATATTTAAAATTAAAAATAAATAAATTTAATATAATTTTTTTTTCTATAAATACTTCAAAATTTTTATTTATATATCAATATCAAAATTTATTAATATATATAAAAATATAAAAAATTATTATATTTTAAAAAAATAAAAAATAAATTAATAAATAATTAATATATATATAAATTAATAAATTTAAAATTATAAAAAATAAATATATTTTAATATTAATAACTAAATATCAATGGAAGGAACAAATAAAAGACCTATTACCAGAAGAAATTCAATTTAAGATCTAGACAAAAAGCTATCAACATCCCTATTGCATTAGATATCATTTTATAAATGGTAAAGTATACATATTATTATTTAATTTATTGATTAAAAAATTATATACTAATATCTTATTTTTAATAGATGGTAAATGTTTAGCAGTAAAAAAAATAGAGAAAAAAACAATCTTTCAAATGATACAATAAATACTCTAGATTATCACTTCTCCAAAGAGAGGGTATAGAGAAACTATGATGAACCTTTAATTCAAATGCTTATTGAAGAAAAAAAGAAACAAATACATATATTTCAAAGTATAAATAAATCCAAAAATACTTACAACTCCTATTAAATAGTAACAAAAGTAACTTTAAAAAAGAAATAATAAAAGAAATGAAGAATGGCATGATTGCATTCCGAATGAAGAATAAAGTTTGTTTCAATTGTGGTCAAGATCACAACATTAATCAATGTGCTAACGAAACCTCCGTTGCTTTAGTCCCATGCACTAAAAGTAATTTCAAAAAACCCAAAACAGCTTGACTATGTGTAGAAGAAAGTTTAGATCATAGAAATGATACAATAAAATATTAGAAAGAAAATAATATTGAATATCCAACATAATATTCAATTGTAAGAAATGTACTTTCAGTTGCTTCTTCTTCCGTTGAAATTGAAAGAACATTTTCGGGTGCTAAGTTGTTGGTTACAGACAACAGATCAAATTTGGGTTGGGAAAGAATAGAACAATGTGTGTTAATAAGGGAATGGGCAAACATTTCAAGAGTAGATATTGTCGAAAACTCTGTCATTTATAATTATTCAAATATTTCAAAAATGGTATGATTAAATAAAATTGTACAAGAATTTTAAATTTTTTTCATACAAAAAATAATGTAATTCTAAGTTTTTTTTTTATTTTTAAGTTTCTAAGTTTTTAAAATGAAAAAATTAGTCAAGTGGGTGGGTGTGGGAGTGGGGGAA